ACACAGAATAATAAGCATATTATGCTGTACAGTTCTATGAGTATTGACAAATGTCTATAGTCACATTTCTACCACCTCAGAGACGATGCAGACTAGTTCAATTATCCAAAATCATCCCCTGGTTCTCACCCATGGTCATCAGCTTCTACCTTATCAGGGTAGAAGTCCCAGGAAACCACTGGGAAATGTCCCTGTAGTTTTACCTTTTCTGGAATGTCATATGAATGTAATCATATAGTATCAGGCTTCTTTTACTTAACTCTGTATTTGATGTCACATCTATAGTTTGTTCTTTCTAATTGCTGAGTATTATTCTATTTCAAGTTTCTTCATCTGCTCAACAGCATTCATCCAGATGGCTTCCAGCTCTGGCAATTAAAATAGAGCTGCTGTAATTGTTTGCACACTGCTATGTCATATCCCAAATGTTTATTGTCTTTATAAGAAGCTATCCAACTGTTTTTCCCAGTATTTGATACCTTGTTTTCCCACCTACAGTGTATGAATTTCAGTTGCTCTTTATCCTCATCAACACTTGGAATTGTCAGTTTTTTCCCAGATTTTTTTTAGTTTCTCTAATAGAAACCTAATAGGATCTCATTTTAGCTTTTAATTCATTTTCCATGATGTATTGTAGTGTTGGATATCATTTCATGTGCTTATTTGCCATTCATATTTGGTTAAATGTTCACATTTCATTGGTTAAGTGTTCACATCTTATGCCTATTTTTGATTTTTGATAGTTAATTTAATGTTTATTCATTTTGGATTTGTCAGATATGATTTGCAAGGATTTTTCGATTGTTTTTGGTTTGTCATTTCACTGTCTTAGAATGTCTTTCATAGAACAGTTTTTAAATTTTTTGAGGTTCAATTTACCCATTTTTGTTTTACTCTTTTTCCTTTCAGTTTATATCTCAGAAGTCTTTGGCTAACCCAAAGTTATAGAGAATTTTTCCTATATTTTCTTCACAAAGTTTTAAAATTTACTTTTAAGGCTATGACACATTCTATGCTTCTTTTATATCATGTGTAAAGTATGGGTTGAGATTTCCATGCATGTCTGTGTGCATGCATGCATGCATGTATGTATTTGAATAGGGATGCTGTAGTTGATCCAGACCATTTTTTAAGAAGATTATGCTTTCTCCAATCTACCAGTTTTTACATTTATCAAAAGTCATTAAACATTTTTATGTGGGTTAATTTTTAGATTTTTGTATTGATCTATGTTTCTATCAGTACCATACTAGCATACTGTATTAGTATAGCTTAATATTAAGTTTTGAAATCAGTATGAGTGCCTCCAAATTTTTTTTCCCTTTCAAAATTGTTTTGGTTATTCTTGTCCTTTGCTTTCCATGTAAATTTTAAAGTCAGAATGTTGATAACTATTTTTTAAAAGAGTTATTTATTTATTTATACAAGCACTGGGTACAGTCAGAAGCGTGGGAGGGTGAGAGAATTCACCAGAGCCAGAGTAGGGAACAGAACAGGCAGACTGATGAAATCCACTGCTGAGGGGAGCAGCGGGTGGCAGGAGAGGTCTGCACGCCATGTGGGATCCTGGCCAGTGGCCGGGGATCGAACCAGCACTGCAGAGGCTGCAGGCAGCCTCACAGCCCTGCGCTCAGCCACTGTACCACTAGGTGAGGCCCAGAATGTTGATAACTATTTAAAAAATTCTGCTCAGATTTTGACTGGGATCAAATTTCATCTATAGATCAACAGGGAGAGTAGACATTTTAAACATATTAACTTTTTAAATTGAAAAACATGGCATATTTCTCCATTTATGTATATTTTTGACTGACTGTATATGTGTAAGGTAGTGCTCTTTCTTAACATTTTGATCCCCTCTCCAATCTGCCTATTTTTGTTTTTTATTTTACATTGTGTGGTCCTAAAGTAGTTGCTTTTTAGTCTTTTCAGCATGTTTAGTTGTAATCAATGGGAAAGATTAATGGGTTAATTTCATCTTGTTTGACTTGAAAGTCAATTGGTTTAAGTTTTAGTCATCTAAATTCTTCTTGCATGGTGATGCTGTGGATTATGGAGCACCCTCTAAGTGACTTATCTGCATATCTTTCAGTTTGAATAAACCAATTTTGAGACAGTTTCCTAAAGGTGGGATTGATAACTGCAAACACTATGATCTCTATATGAAAGTTCAAAGGACTCCTCTTGTTTAGATGAAAGCTTAGGACAAAGGGGGTACTCAAAATCATTTCCTTTATTGCCCAATAGCATTTATTCAGATCCAGGAACTTATTCCTTTCTTGACAGTGTCAGGATGTGTCACTTAGAAATAAATGAAATGAAAATTGATTTGACAGTTAGCAGAATCACTGTCTGAGAACATTTCTTAGTAGGCACTGTCTTGCTGACAAATAACAAGAGTTAACATGTGATGCAGGATCTCACAATATCACCATTTATTTAGCCCAAAAGAGAATACAATTTCCTGTGTCCAAACACATCTCAGCTGACTGATAAACCCTAGCACCTTCCAAACAGTATTATCTTCCCTATATCTTACGAAGGCTTATTATCAAAGAATCTTAAGGAGACTTTATATTCCAGTAGGGGTAGTAATCACATTTTCATCATATCTGTAAGAATTGGAAATGACTAAACATGTTCTCTCAAGCACAATATAAATTGCCTATCTTATGTCCTATTTCTTAGTCTATTTGTATTTTTAGTCTGTTGTAACAGAGGCACATGCAAAAATGTACTTGGTCTTTTTTCAGCTTTCTAGTTATATAATTCATGAGTCTTCAAGGTTGCTTTTATTATATATCAATGCTATTCTAGAGACTCTGCAGTCTAATTCTTTACTAAAGCACAGTGTTACAGCATAGTTCAGAGCACTTATTAAGGTATCCCACTACAAAAAAATTTTATCTGTAATTATTTGATATACTTTTAGGATATTAATTTTTTTTTATTAGACTAGAATTTGATTCTGCACTTGTCATTCAGAAGACAGTCCTATACGGATGAACACACATACACCTGCATATTATGTGCTTATGTATATGTGAAACAAGGTAAAATATTTAAATTTTTTGCAAAGGGATAATACTTCTGTGAAAACTTTAATGTTTTTAGCAAATGATATCATACTCATCTTATTTTACAATTACATAACCAAATTAGGATGTATAAATCTCAACATGGGTTGGAAAAATTCAGGGACTTCATAGGGCTTGAAGTGTGCTTCTTCTCTGCAAAAAAAGTATGGGGGTTTGCAGAAGTCCAACCAACATATCTTCCCGGACATTTATTCATTCAATATCTGTGCCCTAAGACCTTGCTAGAGTCTCAGGTTACAGAAATGATTAACACATGATTCTAGTTGTTTTAAAACGCCCTCAAGTAGGGCATTGTGAACTGATTTTAAAATAGAATTGTAATTAACTTTTTCAAATGAATATGTGGGCCTTCACTTAGTCATTCAAATGAGGGTGATAGAGCAATTGCATTGTAACTATAGGTCTCTAATAGATAAAACACATCACACTATATATGTAAATGTCTTATTCATACTGTATTGCTTTTTGTAGTTTGCAAATTGCATTTGAGTTGTACATTTAATTTTTATTGTTTTCTGGTTAGATTGGGCATGTATTGAAAGCTCCATTTATAGTTAATGGAAGGAAAGCAAAAAGAAGTTTCATATTTCCCATTCATAGAAACAGTTGAGGAATGCTTGACCTGGGGCTCCCAGCCCAGTGCCCACTGTATCATAATCTACTGTTTCTTAACAGCTGGAGCTTAGCCTGGGACTCAGTCTCAAGAAATATTGAGTCTTCAGTGCCAGTGATACCTTGCCAGGCAAACCCCACTTGATTAGATCAATTAAGATTCATTGACAGACTCACAGTTACTAACGTCATGAATTAAAAGCCTTCCAACTAATGCTTTTAAATGTGTATTCCTTGCTAACTGTGAAGTGCACAAGGCTGAACTTGTCTCCATTCTCCTTATGAATCCTTGGAGTTTAACAAGCGGGTGCCCTTCCTGTTCCTGGAACATGCCTAGCTCATTCTCACCTCAGGGTCATTGCAGGTTTCCATCTGCCCTGGGTGTTCATCTCACAGCCAGTGGCTTGGGCTCTTTATCTGTTCTCAGCACAAATGCCAACAGCTTAGAGAAGTTTTTCTTTTCCATTCCATCTAAAAATTTCATTATTTGCCTTATTTTCTTCATAGAATGTAGCAAGCATTATTTGATATTAATCATCCATATCTGTGCTTTGTTTATAAATTCTGTGAGAGTAGTCATATGAACTGTCTTATTTATCAATTTTATTCCAGTATGTTAACAGTAAACCCCTGTCATTTACAACAACATGGTTGGAACTAGAAGGGAGAGTGCTCAGTGAAATAACTCAGAAGGAGAAAGACAAATACTGGATGGTTTCACTTACATGTGGAATTTAGGGAAACAAAACAAAGATAAAACCAATCCAATAGCTAACCCTAGAAATCTGACTGTAGAACTGAGACTGTGAATTGGGAAGAGGAGGAGAAAGAGCATACTAGGAATGGGATGCAGTGAACTATGGTGGAGGCCTTGGTGGTGGGTGTGGTTTGGTGACATACACCTAAGGGATGTGATTCAGAGATATGTCTGAATCATATAGATTATTGTAAACCAGTGTTACCTCAATAAAAAGAAAAATGTTGTGATGTTCCACCTAAAACAATCCTGTGTTAATTCCCCGTATTGGGAAAGACAAATTATTAAATTATTATCCCCTACCGTCGTTCTTCACAAGGATATAGTCTCCTCACTTCTACATTTATAGTGCCTCTAGTACGCCCTCTGTAGGAATGGGCTTAGTCATTATTTCTTGTCTACATATGTTTATAATGTGTGGTTATAGTGTATGGCTGAATATATTTTGTTTTCTCATGAATGCTAAAGGATTGGTCTAGCTCTCAAGTCCATTTGGATACAAACTCACCTTCTTTTCCTTCTTCCCTTCACAGGATTATACGTTGACAATGTACTTTCAGCAAGCCTGGAGAGATAAGCGGCTGTCCTATAATGTAATACCTTTAAACTTGACTCTGGACAATCGAGTGGCAGACCAGCTCTGGGTGCCAGATACTTACTTTCTGAATGACAAGAAGTCTTTCGTGCACGGGGTGACTGTCAAGAACCGCATGATCCGCTTACATCCAGATGGGACAGTCCTGTATGGCCTCAGGTCTGTAATTTTATTTCAAAACGTAACCTTTCCTGAATGAAGCAGTCATGATTTTTCATTGTAGGGAAATGGTATGCTATTTACTTCTTCAGTTCTGCTGCTAAGCACTTAAACCTCCTGTCCAGTGGACAGCTGAGAGCTTTAGAGTAGCATGTTTACAAAGGGACTTATCCCCAGCTAAGTCTGAGTTTTTTGGTGAATTATCTTTTTATATCAGCAGCCAATCCTAAAGCTGCTTTCCCTAAGGAGCAGGGATGAACAATGTCAAAATAGCTGCGACGTAGGGCTTCCACATAATGGAAGAAAATGATGAATGACACATACTTGTTTGAATGTGGAAGATGCTCTGTTTCAACAACTGCTCCTGAGCTGTGTGAATTGAGCCTGATACTCTGACGACGGAAGGCTCCTCTGCCCTCTCGCCCTCCAAGGAGCAATCACACTTGCAAATAAATGAAGTCGTTATCTCATGCTTATTAATAATGAATTTTCACTAGTAAATGTATTATGTCAAGAACAGTTGGGGTTCTGTGCTCCTTGGGTGAGGATGACTTGCAAAATTAGATGAGTTTCTTCTTTCTACAGTTTATTTTATATTAGAAGCAGTAGATGGTTTCCTGGAGGGAAATGATGAAAAAAATATATCTATCTAACTCAGAAAACAGTATTATAGAAAGTATTCTGCTGCTTGATAGGGGAAGAGACTCTAAATTCTAAAGTGTTCAGTTGCCTCTGTTCTTTTCTGTTTTACAGAAATAGATGACTGCCCTGTCATGAGAATGATGATAATGACAAGGGTACTTTGTGTGTGTGTTTGAACACTTGTTAGGGGTCAGATATTGAGCTAAATGCTTTCCACTCATTATTATAGTTAATTATAACACCTCAGAAGTTAGTCACTGTTGTGATCTTTATTGTCAAATGAAGAAACAGAGGCTGATGGAACTGGCCTAAGATCACAAAGACATTAAGCTATGAAAATGGGATTCAAATTACATTCCAAGTTCAGAGTCAGAGCTCTTCACCTCTGCACTAGGAGACTTCTCAAGCCCACGTTTTCTGTACCTGTTCTTTCTATCTGTAGCTCATTTTCATTATCTGTTATATACCATGCATCAGGCCTATATCATTGTCTGGGAAACCTGCTTCTTTGTTGATCATCTCTGTAGAGAAAATGGCATTTGACTATTGAGGGATGGGAGAGAGGGGAAGGGGAAGGCAGAGAGTGTGTTTATATTTGGTGTCAGCCACAACTAGAGGAGAAGTGATGAATCAGACACAGGTCCAGCTTATAAATGCAACTCAGGGGAAACAGGAGAGATAAAATAAGCTGACTGGCTAAGTCTGGAAAGAGTTTGAGTGGTGGGCTTTGAACTACTACTGCAGAGAACTGTGGTATCAGATAAAGTATGCTAAGCCTCCTACTCAGAGTCACCTATAAAACGAGGTGTCAGAGGCCTTGAGAGGATGGCCATGTGGGCTGGAGAGGGGATAGCAGATGAAAAGTGTGCAAGATTTTTAAGAGTAACAGGAACAGTCAGATCCTGAAAAGACAGAAGGAGGCACAGAAATACACTCCCCACGGGGCAGTGAATGAAGTGAGAGAACCAGCAAATGACAAGTTCTGGCTCTACTCTGACCCCACTCCCTTTCACTAAGAGGTGACTTTTGCTGTGTGGCTTCTTGAAGCACAGGGAAACATCATTGTCAAGAACTTGATAGTGACAAATAAGTCTCAGGAAGGAACATTGAAAGGCAGCAGTAGAAACCTAGACTGGAAAAACTTTAAATAGAGGCACTGACAAAGAAATCAGGTAGAAAAACACCTCTGAGCTGAATTTTAGGCATGTTCAAGGCAAAATCTAAGAATCTGAGCTCCCTTCCTAAAATCCAAAAAGATTGGCAGGAATGAGGTGCCAGGTGGGGAGGCCTTCACAGGATCTGAATAAGCTTCTCTTATTGGGTTTCCTTCAGTGCATTTCTTAGGCATTAAAACATATTACAGATAAAGTGGTATGTAAAATGTCAGTGCTTGTTGGCTTTCATGGTGGGTAGATAGGTAAGTGCATGTTGTGGTATCATTTCAAGTTGTCTGCATGTTTGAAATTTTCAGGCTAAAATTTTAAAAGAAAAAAAAATTGTGATACTCTGGAGGCCTAGGAATCTCGTTCTGTTCTCTAGGAAGTATCTCCAAGATTTAAAAGCCTGCACCCAAGGAATGCTATTTCTGATCTCTTGGCAGTTGAGACTCATCTATACTTTCAGTTGCTGTGTCTGAAAATGAGGTCATCTCATCTGAGTAATGTGCAGCTCTGACAGTGAGATCCGTGACCACAGACAGGGGGATCCATGGCCACAAACACAGACTAACCCATAACCCAGAGTGGATGACTATAGCTCATTCTCCTGCAACCAGCCTGTTGCTTCTGACCATACACAGCAGGACCTCTCTGTCTACATGTGCTGTGATATCAGTTTTGAACAGCAGGAGTTTAAGGATAGCACCCAGCTTCTTATCAAGCTTCCATGAAAAGTTACAGTGGCCTTAGAAAGTTCAGAAAATGGAGCTTGAGATTTAGAAATACAGAACATATCTTAGGCTAAGTTTTAACTATTTTGATTCTTATTTATTTTTTGTTTCCCCATCACTAAACACACATATTAGCAATTTACAATCAGTCATCCTGTTGCTCTTCAGGTTGATAATCATCAGGAAACATAGTTCTAATGCTGTGTAGGTATATAAATGCACACAAATGGGCAAGAGCACCAAGTTCCTTAACAAAGTATAATGACAATGGAAATCAGTTTGGACTTTTGATATGATCCTTCTCCAGATTTTAATTGCCACCTATATAAAAAGGAAAGATGAATCAGGTGATATCAATTTTAATTTTTTTTTTACAACCCAGTCACCCTCTAAAGCAATGATCAGTGAACCCAAAAACAAATTCTTATTTCATTTTAGGCTAGAAAATGAAATTATGTGTCTGGCATAGTGTAACTATGGGTGAATACTGAATGCTTAAGGTTACTTAATATTTGATAAATAAGGGGATGCTGGAGATAGTAGATAAGTAAATGGAAGGCTAGACCACAGAAAACTTTAAATACCAGAGCAGTAATTCTATGTTACAGCATTTTACCCCAGTTAACTTTCCATGATTCTGTGAAGTGAGACATGAGTCCCTCTGTCTAGAATAAAAAGAGTGGGAGGGAGATAGTGGATCCAAGTAAATGGGGAAGGGTTTGGCCAAGTATATCTGGAATAAAATAAGGGGAATCAGTAAAGAAAACTTACAGGATTGTCAAATATGTTAAGGACACAGACTTACGGTAGAACCAGTTACTCCCAGTTGTGATGTTTGGCAGCCTGAGATCAAGATGCTTTCAAGGACACCTGGCCTTGAAAGATCATTCTATAGACCAAGGCCAGGACCTCATTTGGTGCGTGCACTCAGTGATTTCCATGTAATCACATGTTGTATGGTTTCTCTGAAACCAAGCCTTTCCTTTTATTTTCATTATGCCTTATCACACATCTATTTTCTCAAATTGGTTTAAAAATCTCAAGGAAAAATTAAGGAAGGTTATGAATAACACTTTTTTTTTTCCCAAGCCAATATATGCAGATAGTGACTAAAGAATACTGCCATCCTTACATGTAGATTGTCCCCTTACTCTTGGCTGGTTGATAGCACAGTCAAATAAAGTTGATTATAAAATCAAACTCTTGTCTTTTATGATACACTGGAGATTTCTGTCAGGAGATAATTCCATCAGGGGAAAAATATTTTCTTTGGAGTTCAATTGACAAAGCAGAAGAATTCCTAGCAATATATATATATATATATATATATATATATATATACACACACATACATACACACATATATATAACAGATCAACTAAATTTGTTCCAAAATGAAATTGGCACAGTCAAATCATTTTCAGAACACTTCAGGTAGAAATGATGCAAAAATATAGAATCTCTGATAATGAAACCAGCTAAAAAATTTGCAGGTAAAAATCAGGCTTCTAAATATAGACTGTTACTTAGGAGACACTTCTTAGATTTCAAAAGCTTATGAATATTTACACTGGACAAAGTAATCAAGAGACCCATATTCTAGTCTACTATTAATGGTTCTTATAATTACTGACCCTAATGATTTCTAAATTTTATTATCGCTTAAAAAATCCCATATCACTGTAACTTTGATAATGTATAGCATATATACTATTAGGACTTCCACTTCAGTATATTTACCATGACATTTTAGTGCCTCAGCAGTTAGACATTCTGAAAACTCTTCTGATTAAGTAATTAAGAAAGCAAACTAGAATCATTATATTCAGGTGTATAAGAAAACCCAAATTATCAATTGGTGACTTTTTTAACATAACATTTTGTATTTTATTAAAATATAGAAACTAAACCCAAAGTGGACTTCATATTACTTATGCCATCATAACATTATATGATAGCTTTTTAATCACATTTTTAAAAACTCCAATAAGCACAATTAAAACACTTTTCTAATATTAGCTGATAAGTAGTTATTATTAAAATTTATAAATGTTTTATAATTTCAATATAAAATATTGAAAATTAAGTTACCAGAGGTAAGCACTCTCTGTGCCTTGCTTTGTATTCTTTCAGATATTTTTCTAGTAAGAAGTGATATAGGTAGTTTTTCATAAAAAGGCTCACATTATACATAATATTTTGTGATCTTATTTTTTTCTATACCAATCAATGTATCATACTTTGTCATGGTGTCACTTTGTAACATACTTTGTCATGGTCTCACCATAGTTCTTTCACCATTATAGGGAGTAGTTGGGATAGGTTTTTTTTTAATCCAATGTAGCATATAGGGATTTGCTATATAAAACTTAATATTTTAGTGACAAGCAGACAAAACTATTAGTAGCATGACTTATAATATAGTTATGTTGTAATTTGTAGTCTCACTGATTAATGTCTCAGGAGAAGT